TGTCGCGACCCGTCGGGCCCCTAGGGCCCAGGTCTCAGTTACCGCAAGAAGGAACCAGGCGAGATGCGGATTAGAAGTACAAGCTTGTGGGAGACAGGCTACCCCTTTCTTACTTTCTGGGTAGCCCCAAGCAACCTCTGCACCAGCCTTTTATTGAGATGGAATAATATAGGTGAGGGGAGTAATTAACAATGACTAGGTGCTGGAGGCGTGGGCTCTTCTTCCACAAGGAACGCCTGTGGACAAATGGCCTGCGGTCCACCCCTCAGCTGCAGATCATCTTGCTCAGATGTCATCTGGCTCTTGGTGTCTCCTACACCAGATCACCTCATTAAAGTGATTATCATGCTAAAATGAGTCACGTGTATGTTTTGGTTTCCCAGTACATATAAGAGTTATGTGTACAATGTACCGTAGTTTAAGTGTGCAGTAGTATTATGTATGAAAAAAGTAAATACCTTAATTAAAAATACTTTAAAATACTTTAAAAATGCTAAAAATGATAATGATAATCTGAGCCTTCAACAAGTCATAATCCTTCTCCTGGTAGAGAGTTTTGCAGAGATGTTGGCGACTGTTGACTGAGGAAGGTGGTAGTTATTGGATGTTGGAGTATCTGACAATTTTTACAAATAAGACAACAATGAATTTTGCCATAACAATGTACTCTCTTTTGTGAAAGATTTCTCTGTAACTTGTGATGCTGTTTGATAGCATTTTACCCACAGTAATGTAGAACTTCTTTCAAAACTGCAGTATATCCTCTCAAACTCTGCTGTTGCTTTATCAGCTAAGTTAATGAAATATTCTAAATTCTTTGTTGTCATTTCAATAACGTTCAGAGTATCTTCACCAGGAATAGATTCCATCTCAAGAAACCACTTTCTTTGTTTATCTATAAGAAGCATCTTCTCGTCCATTCAGGTTTTATTGTAAGATTGTAGCAATTCAGTCACATCTTTAGGCTATCTTCTAATTCTAGTGTTCTTGCTGTTTCTGCCACATATGTAGTTATTTCCCCCACTGAAGTCTTGAACTTCTCAGAATTATCCATGAGAGTTGAAATTGACTTCTTCCAAACACCTGTGAATATTAATATTTTGACCTCCTCTGATGAATTGTGAATGTTTGTAATGACATCTAGAATGGTGAATCCTTTTCTGAAAGCTTTCATTTTACTATAACCAGATAATCCATCAGAAGAAGCACTCTCTGGCAGCTACAGCCTTACAAAACATATTTCTTAAATAATGAGATTTGAAAGTTGACTTTACTCCTAGATCCATGTAGAATGAATGTTGTGTTAGCAGGCATAAAAACATCATTAATCTCCTTGTACATCTTCATCTAAGCTCTTGGGTGACCAGGCACTGTCACAGAGTGGTGATATTTTGACAGGAATCTTATGATCTGAGCAGTTCTCAAAAGTGGGCTTAAATGATTCAGTAAACCATGCTGTGTACAGATAATGCTATCATCTGCATGTTGTTCTTCCATTCACAGATCACAGGCAGAGTAGATTTAGTGTACTTCTTTTTTTTTTTTTTTTTTGAGACAGAGCCTCAAGCTGTCCCCCTGGGCAGAATGCCGTGGCATTACAGCTCACAGCAACCTCCAACTCCTGGGCT